CTGGTTGCCTGGAATTGCTCTTTAAACTAAAATACAGAAACCTCCAGGAATTGACATATAAAGCAAAGTAAGCAACAATGGGTTTAAGACACCCATATATTCAGGTATCAAGTATATCTCTGCATATGTAGAATAAAATGCAATAAACCAAAAAAGTTTTTTTATTAACAAACTCTACTGGACCTCATGTAAAAAAAAAAATAGCTTTGTTCTAAAGGAAAGTATTTTTGTTTCAGTCAATGAGAACCTGTCCATTTCTCATGACAGGTTGGAAATTGAATGGGAGAGATTGATTGGTTTTTGCTCGCCAAACAGAGACCCTGTGCTGTAAGTGACTGTAATATTGCTGACTGGGCGCTATTGTGAACATCAGTACTTTTCCTTTAGAACATGATGCTGCGTTTCCAGTTTAGTCATTCTCTGCAATCCTAGCATGTTTAAAGGAAAAACTATTTTAAACAAGTACAAAATGAGAAAAATCCTATAAACTACGGTAGCAGTTCATGTAAACATATTGTTTCAGTATGAGCTTTTCATAGTTCAGTCTGATATGTGAAATACAGATTTGATCGACAAACAAAACCGTTTTCTTTACCATTTGAACACAAACATTTAAAATAAAGTGTTTAATAGCTATAAAGAAGAGGCAAGAAATGTATGTGCACCAATAAAAGTGAATCTATACTAAAAATAACAATTTGCCAGATGAATACATATAGAACAATATAGGTGAAGAAAGGCTTACCTTTCCTGGAAATTTGTTTCTTCCCCCGTACTGGATATTTGATCAAATGCCTAGGCGTCTGGTCATGTGATCTCTGATGAAGAGTAGGACAAGAGTTCACATTGGCTGATCCATACCTTTTTAATAGAGATCACATGAGCGAATGCTTAGGCTTTTGGACACATAAAGAGTACAGGGAGTGAGGAGAAGCCTTATCCCCAAGAAAGGTGGGGATTACACTCCTTACTCTATATCTATCCCAACAAGATTGTTCACATAGTTTTGAATCTAAATTTGAGCACGCCAGATTTAACAATTACTGAAACCTTTTTATAATCTAATTTATAATCACGGATAAGATGCCATAGTTGCTATAATGAAGTGACATTCCTCCTCTTGGTGCCACCAATGTTCATTTTTAAAAAGCCACTTTCCCCAGCCCCAAGCTACCAACATGTAGCCCTACTGGTAAGCCCCATATCTCACAATCACACATCCTGTATCCCTGATTTTAAACCTCAGTGTCCATAGTAACTGGAGGTAAGCCAGATGCTGATATAGTAAACTGAAAACGTTGTCTCACACCTACTGTAAAGGGTACTGCCTGAAATATCCAGCCTACCTCATTACTGAATTGGCGCTGGTAACCCTGCAACCAATCCTTCATTCACCTACTTAGATAAGTCTCTGGTTTTTACTGTAAGACTTTCCATCCAAGAGCCTGGAGTACAGCAACCACCTGAGACTATTTCTATACTTCATGCTCCTGGAGCAATGGAGTATAAGTGTCAATTACAAAGATATCTGTTGTCTGCGGTGGAGGTGGCTATCAGCACACACAGACTCTTAGAAGAAAGCTGGACACATCTACAGTACAGCATGTAGTGCCTAAGCATTAAAGTGACACTAAACTCAGGAGTTAAATCTTAAAATGCATGCAAGTACCTTAAAAGAGAACTATAGGGAAAGTTATTTTCCCCATAGTTCTCTTAAGGGTCACGGCTACAGCTCGCAGTGTACTGAGGCCGCCGCAGCCGGGACGGATCCCGACAATGCTGTCGAGATTCAGCAAGCTGCATGAGTGACAGCTGGCTCTGCCTATCTAGAGGCAGAGCCAGCTGCAGGAGTGCTCAAAGATGGACAGGTACGAAATGAAGTAAAAACATTAAATACAATAAAGTGTTTCTGTTGCCCACTTGCAGCGTAGGCAAACATTCTGCGAGGAAAGTCCCATACTGCACAGCCTTCAGTCCGATTAATCAAACCAGTACAAACAGCAATGCCAGCACAGTAACCCATTGCAACTGGCTTACTGATATCAGATGGAAAATTCTATATGGTTGGTTACTGTATGCCTAATATATAATAAGCACACATACATAACAAATTAGTAATATCATTGCAGCATGAGGCACAAATGTCCCAAAATGCAGTAATGTCACTAGTTTCCAACAAACTGAATTTTGCTGTCATGAAGCACAAAGCAAGAAGATGGAGGATACCAATATTGTATTCTCTAGCTGCAGACTAATCCTTGGACTTTAAATCACCTATTTCACTGCCTCTGGAATAGAATGTGACCGGAAATCAGGGATAAATGCTTCCATTGAAAGTGTCTCACATAGGCATTTTACTTAATGACATTCCCTATAAGCAGAGTTGACAGAACTCTGCACTTCTTTGACAACGGAGAACTCTATTATCTATACATAGCAGCACCTTCAGTTAAAACATGCTAATAGCTTAACTACACCTCATTTTCCCTTACTAGTTATGTATAAAAAGAAAAGACAACAAATTAGAAAAGCATTACCATCAGCCATTCCACAACATTCAAACTCTTCCTAGGAGCTTCAAGTTTTGTAGTGCAAATGATTCCCTTTTACAAAGTCTTCAAAAGGAATAAATGTCAGGTACCTAAACAGTTCTGGCCTATGTCGCATCAAGGACACTGTAGCAGTAGCAGGTTATATCTTCTTCAATGATAAAGGCTTGGACAGTAATGAGATGCAATTCAAATAATAAAATGTTATTTTGCTTCTCACAACTAGGTGACTTAATGGCAACAGCCTATAAATGATGCTTTCAGTGAAAAAAGACACAGCCAGGGATGTTGTCAAGGTCCATATGATAGAATGCATCTTTTGCATTACTCTGAATGTCCATGCTCCATGCTCATACCTGCAAGTTAACTGAGAGTTACATTATATGATCATAGATTTGTGGAGACCTGAGCATCAAACTTACATGACCTCGGTGCACATCCATTTCCAGAACCATGGACAATGAGGAGTTGGCACCCCCTATGCCTCTATAACAGCCTCCACTCTTCAGGAAAGGCTTTGTACAAAGACTTTGAAGAGTCCATGGAAATTAGTATATTTTCAGTCAAAAGAAAGAATGCATCTTTTCATCACTCTAAATGTCTATTCTTATTCCTGCCAATTAAGAGTTATACTATAATGGTCATAGGTTTGTGGAGACCTGACCATCACACTTACAGGACCTTGGTGGACATCCATTTCAAGAACCATGAGCAATAATAAGGAGCTGGCACCCTTATGCCTCTATAAAAGCCTCCCCTCTGGAGGAAAGGCTTTGCACAAAGACTTTGGAGTGTCCATGGAGCCAAAAGAGCATTTGTGGTTCAAGTCCTGATGTTGGACAAGAAGACCTGGCTCACATTCGGCATTTCAATTTATCACAAAGGTGCTCAGTGGGGTATAAGTCAAGAGTTTGCGTAGGTCACTCAAGTTCCTCTACAGCAGAATCATCAAACCATGTCTTTATGGACCAGGGTTTCTGCAACTGAACACAATAATTCGGAGGGATGTCCACATACTTTTGGCTTTTATAAAAGAATAACTAGAGTTTATATATATATAGTTAAAAAGATTTCAGGAGCTTATAGGAGCTAACAAGGTTAAAGCTGCAATATTGAGTGTGATACATTGAGATAGATAACTGCAGCACAAGATTGATGAGCAGTGAAAGGGTCATTCTCTTTTCTTGGTAGATTGCTACCATTCTGACACTCCAAAAACAGACATACCTTGTCATGCTGGAACAATTCGACAGCCACCAGTACAGAATTTCTATACTTCAGTTCCTCCTTTTGTTTCTCCAGCCTTAAATGGTTTGCCACATACAAGACCATCAGACTCACTTAATAAAAAAACTACAAAGTACAGTAATATGTAAATGTGTATTAACCCTCAACACCCAAGCTGTGACCCAACCCAGCAACAATGAATGAAAATCAGATTTCTACAGGATTACTGTACTTTGTACATAGCATACATGCTTTGTGTTGCTTTACTAAATATGTCTGTATGTCACTACAAAGTTAGTACAAGGTGAGAAATATTGTATATATTTGTGAGCCAACTTGTGTGTTAGGGTCAGTAGTGCTATAAGCGGATACTTGTACAATATGAATTGCTGGTATTTTATACAACCTGCCTTCTTTCTGGCAATCTAGGTGATATTAAAGTGGGCCTGTCACATTTTAGGAACAGAAGTATATAGCGCTTCTAGGTCTGTGTACTTGGACAAAAGGCATGCACGATTCATAAGCTTTGGTCAATCAATGCAAATGTTCTCAACTTTAGTCTACCCCCCAGCCAATCTTCAGTCTTCAGCATTTACGTACTACTTGCAGAGAGAGTGTAAACCTGCCTGCCAAGCACAAAGCGAGGCAGAGAACCAGCCCTAGGTCTCGGGGTATTAAGCGCTGTTTTTGTTGGCCAATATAAAGTAAGCAACAGTAAATATTACCTCTTTAGAAAGGAACATCTTTTGTACACAAAAACCAAAAGGAGTGTACATTATATACTCCTTCATTATACCAAGTCTTAGCAGTAGCATCTGTAGGAAACTGTACAAAGCCATATGGCTCAATACACATGGGCATTAAGTGAAAGCTTGGCTTTTTGTTGAGGTGCAATTAATACAGAATCACTTTTGGCCTGCAGTCCTTGGTCCTTTCAAGTGTTTACAAGTTTTCAAGGCTTTTGTGGTATCAGTACAGCTACATACTCCGGAAAATGAATTTACACAGTTAAACAGATCATAGACAAGCCATGTACAGTCCAGTGATGACTACAAGAAGCCCTGAAGACACAAAGAATTTAAAAACAGGAGCTCTTTCTGCACCATCCACACCAACCAACCAGCATCAAAATAGCACACAGGCATGAACATTAAAAGAGGAAACGGGTTTCTATGAGCAGCAGAGGCCTTTAAACATTTCACGCATACTATGAAGGCCTTTGAATGCTCAGGAGAACCCAGTTATATATGGAATAAAGATGATCAATGTAAACAGGAGCAATACAGTACAAACATCAGCCACTTCTAAAGCAGTACAAATTCAGAGGCTTGATACCTTCCAAAAATGCAACTTCAGAATCCTGCTCTACCTTGATGGAGCAGCATTACCTAACGGTTATGTAATGACCACTCACAAGGTAGAGTCTTCAGTCCATCTAGCTAGAAAAAGCCAAACTGGTATTTTCTCTACTGACTGAGTAGTATTATGCCCAACGACAGCCTTTTATGTGCTAGAAGGGATTTTGTGAACACACAAGGCACTTTAATCAGAGCCAACATCTAACTGACTTTCATTTTAGCAACTCCAAACTCCAGACTGACAAAGGAGGGCTCTTCTTTAGCCATCTCCTGTGAATATTCGGTATATCGGTTGTCTTTTGCGGTGCTGCCATCTATTGTTTGGACAGGGTCCTGCAGGGGGTCAAGAACTTGTTCCTTCATGTAACTTGGAGACTCTTTCATTTTGGGAGATTCTGTGGTAGGAGAGCTGATATACTCTGTAGTAGGAGAGCTGATATACTCTTTGGCAGCAGAGCTGATGCAGCTGTTTCCTGCATATTCACCTCCTTTGGACAGATTGCTCATTTTCTGCAAAAAATGTATTACAGGTTATCTTTGGCAGTATAGTAGTATTCACTGTATAGCTTATATATGAAAAGGCCAGGATTTTGACAAGTAAGTGAATGAACTAGTCAATGATGGCTTTTTGGGTACAGGGATTATGATAAAAGTGTAATTGAACTGAAGGTGCAGTTACACTTTAAAGTACATATGTCAGTTCCTGAAACACCCTGAATTGGTTACATGATTATAATAGTGGCACCTACAGATGCTTGAATAAACTTTTGCACATCTTCCAAGAATCAGAGAGATGACATGAAATCCAGGAGCTTTCATATATTCCAAAACTTCCTGGTTCTGACAGCCAGTACACGCCCTTCTGCCTTCTACACCTTCCTATTGGCCAGTAAAGCCAACTATCACAGCGATAGGCCAATAGAGAGGTGTGGGAGGCAGGAGGGTTTTGTCAGCTCTCTCTGCCAGAAAGATCTGGAAGCCGGTAAAGAATATTTTAGTAACAGACAGGAGTATTTTCTAACCTAGATAAAGAGATATGAAGACGTTGCCATACTGTTTGTCAAGCTATGTATGGTTGGAGGCCTCCTTACCAGTTGTAGTTGTTTCAGTTCATCTTCCAAAACTTTGTTTTCAGCACTTATTTTTACCAGTAAATTAGCAACAGACTGTCTGGGATGCAGCGTCAAGTCAAACTGGTGATACATGTTCCTCCAGAATCTGTTCACAAATGACAGAATTAGAGACACTCATAATATCAGCTTGTGGCACGACACATGGAGAAATGTGCTTACTTGAAGTTGGAATGGATGGTGTTTGGCTCCAGGACTGGCTGGCTCTTGAGAGAGTTTTGATCAAACAGAGGATTCTGATATTTGCTGCGTTCGCCAAGAAGATGTGCCCACAACGAGTGCGTCTTCTCCTTTAATCTATAACAACAGGATGAAGGCGCTAAATTATTTAAATGGCATTTGACATCAATACTTCAATCCTGTATTTTATTATCACACTAATAAATCCTACTGTGGTGATGCTAGTAGTGAATAGCATGTTACAAAATCCACATGATAAAGGTATCTGGAAGGTAGAAGGTATCTGGCATAGTAATAATGCAAAAAAACTTAACAGAATCAACTTTAAATGCTGCACAAAGTAGAAGCTACCAGTGCTGCCCAGGCAGCCAATCAGGTGCCAGCTGTCAACAGGTTAGAAAACCTAACATTTGATTGGTAACAAAATATTGATAGTGGACACCTCCCCTCTCCACTCATGTGGCTTCAGTCTAAATCCAAAGCTCCTGAATATACACAGATGTGTGGAAGAACTGGATAATCGACAAGGCAGCCTAGGCAGAAGCCCAGACCTCGAGAGATGTCCAGGGGGGCCAGATACACCCTTCATGCACTTGCAGTAACATGGAAGGGGTTATGCCAGTACAAACAATGGCAACTGGGCAGTTTTCTGTTCCTATTGCACTTATCAATGTAAATCAAAAGAATGGGGGCAGGATAAAGCAGCTACCTTCCCTACGGTCCTATTCTCCCTGATCCATCTTTGGGAGGAGCTCTGTTCACAATTTTGAGTACAACACTCACAAAGCTATATGGGTACATGTAAAAACACCTGCACAAATCCCACCCTCTAAAAAATGTCTGTCAATCTCAGATTGCATATGCTTATTTTATATCGATATATTATAAACTATATATAGGATAATATGAATTACTTGGAGCCAGAGTGTGACATTGCAGGTGTCACATGTTGGCGCTATAGATTGAGAACTGAGTGATCACATACTGCTGATCACTCAGCTCAAGGTTTTCTCCCTGCAGAGAGTGGTGACTGTCAGTCATTGTACCCCACAGGGATTCCCCCTCCCCTCTCTCTATTCCTCCAGTTGTCATTGGAAGGACTGACAGGAGCAAGAGGGGGTGGGCACAGTTCTGGCTCTAGAGAGGCAGAGCCAACTGTCAATCGGGCATCGGAGTGGATCCTGACAATATTGTCAGGATCTTTCCCGGTGGCAGTGCTGTGCTGCCAGCAAATACCAGGCATTAGGCCACCAGAAGCTGACTTTGGGTCACAGGAGTACATTAGTAAATGCACTCCTGTGACCCTAAAGAGGACTAAAGCCCCCAAAAAAGGTTTGGCTTTAATTCTCTTTTAAAAGGCATGATGAACATTGCTTTCTTGATGCCAGTGTCATCTAATGTGATTTATGTATGGGTCAGTCTACACTGGAAAATGTTTAGCACAGGACAATTCATGTCATATAAAAAAAAAAAATTACTTCTTGCCTCCAGTCTGGAACAAAATTGTGCACTGCACAGGCGGTATGCAAAAATATATATTTGCTCACAGATAGGTAAAGGAGTTTTGGGGTAGAAAAGACGTACAAAGTCACGTAAGGAGAATTTTTTGTACAAGTCATTCTGAATTGAGAAAGCCGGTTGGATGACCAGTGAAACGTCTTCAAGAAAAATACAGCAAGTCCAGTTGCTTTGACTTATTTTTTACAGATAATAATATTGAGTATTTTCAACAAAGGACCAGTAATTAGTTATGCATTGACTATAACAACTTCCATATGGCATTCTTCATTGTTTCAAGCAGAAGTGCAACTCTAAAAAATTAAAATGAAACATTTTATTGGCTGTACTGCCACTGCACATATTACCTATTAGCCGTCCATTCAGGATGGAACCGGAACAAGAAGTCCAAAGAGATTAGTTCTGATTGGATCTCTTCCCAAATCGTCTCTCCCTAATATTTTAGCCTAGTTTTAGGTATTCGGCTAAAATGTCAATATATTTTTGTTATCGTTTTAGTCATCTTAACTTCGTTTTTATTTAGTTTTAGTCACTGAAAAGTCTTGTTGATGAAAATTATTAGTCGACGAAATGAACACTGCTGCACAATAATCTCCATCAGAAGCCTGTGTGACAGGTTAACAATGCAATAGCACAATCGAGAGACAGGGACAGAGTGTTTAATCCCTATAACAGGAAGTGCCTAAACAAGAATCTTCATGGCAGGATTGGTAGGAATTATTATTAAATAAAAGTTGTAGATTTTAGATTTAAAAACGCCTTTTTAAATGACATTAACATGTTAACGCTTACATGAGGTTTTAGTGACTGGGGTGGGCTTACATCTACTTTAATAAACAGGCCACACATAAATATTCTTCTGAGGGGCAGGCGGTACTTTAATTTCCTCCTAATCACCATCTAATTAATCAGGAAACCAGCCTGGTTTCCATCAGCTAGGGTGACCTTAATCTGAGACTTTTCTTTAATCCAGAAACATATCGTTTTAGTACATTAACCTAATTACTGCCAATTACCACAACACAGACTGATGGAGCATTAATCTGTCTAAACAATCCAATCCAGCCACTTCAGAAATTCACAAACACGGCATGCTATAAAACAAGAACTAATAGCCGGCTGTAAGAAGCGTGATGGCTAGTTACAAATCGGGCTATAATTGTGCCAATTATGACATTACTAAATGAACTGTAGTGTATACCATTGCTGTTATGGGGTCAATTCACTAAGCTGTGTCATGATCATTTTCTCATACAAATGTTCAATTCACATAAATGTTGCTCTGTTACATTATTATTATTATTTAATTTTTTTTAAATCTGCAGCTTTCATTAGAATAATCCCTGATACTGCCATGAAACTATCCTTGTTCAGGTACTTCCTTCTGTATCTCATGCATTAACTCATTCACACTACCTGTGTGATAAAACGCAGCATTTTAATGCGCAACTAGTGTCTGGTAAGTGCCAGCGGTGAGCCCTGATGCCTTGCGTTATTTACTTTTGTTTAACATCACTTGGAGTGTATTAAGCATACTACATTCATGTCTACACACGGCAAAGCTTTACATTGCATTGTCGCTTGGCGACCTCTGGTGGCATACAGTGCCACAATTGTTTTCTATGTGCCCTAGTGGTGACTAATGTTGGCCCTGTGCGAAAACATGCCAGTCACTGTTGTATGTGTAAACAGGACCTTATTGTCACCTCAAATGACTCCTTTATCTCCTCTCCTCTGTAGACACCTCATGTCACCTTGGTGTATGCCGATAGTCTTCCCTCACCACCCTAAGTAATCTTCGGTGTCAGAGCTTACCCAAGTGAATGACATGAGTGCCCCTTCACGTGACAGTGTTGGGTTTGACGACCGGCTGCTCAGGCATAATCACTGTCACTTGTGGGAGGTTACATGCTCCCCCACACTTGCAATCCCTGCTCCATTACTGCAACAGAGCAAGGTTTCTGACAGAGCAGAGAGGCAGCAAGGGAGTACAGATGGCTGACCATACCTTGCTGGAGGGAGATATCAGAAGGCACTTCTACTTTACTCTAAATGACAATGTCTCTTTAATGCTAAGAAGAGGTACGTTTGTCTATGCAGAAATGTAAGTAAATAAATTTGAGTGAAATAAAAACACCATACGTGTATTGCTTTCATGACCCCCATGACTTTTATGATCAGTAGAAGATATTTGCATGTTCTGCAATTAATGGTTAAATGATTCCTCATATTTTGTAAAGTATTTCAGTCATGTATCACCCGTAAATATTTCTAATTAAACCTAAGCAATATACTGCTGCTTTATTTATTTATTCCAGGTATTTATATAGCGCTGACAATTTATGCAGCGCTTTACATAGTGCACATTCACATCAGTCCCTGCCCTCAAGGAGCTTACAATCTAAGGTCCCCATTGCACACACATTCAGGGCCAATTTAGACTGGAGCCAATTAACCTTCCAGCACGTCTTTGGAGTGATGGAGGAAACCCACAAAAGCACAGAGAGAACATGCAAACTCCATGCAGATAGTATCCTGACCGTGATTTGAACCATTGGAAGTACATTTCTCAAACTATTGGAAATGTCCGACCTGTCAGTGAGTCTCACAAGGTCATACATGGCATAAAATTATACCCTACCAGTAGTGTGAAAAGAATTTGAAATGACAAGCAGTGTAATGTGCAAAGTGCAGGAACCCAAAACAATCAAACGGATGTCTTCTTTATCATCACCTGACTACAATAAATTGAAATCTGATTGGCTGCCATGGGTGCTGTGTCTGCACATGCACTTTGCTCTTCTTCAAGTTAAAAACAGTTTTTATGTCTACAACATCGCTGTATTACAGGCAAACAGATAACATACCCAAAATGCAGACTTGTTTACCCGGACTGCACCCCTTACCTCAGCTCTTCCCGCCCCTTTTCACAATTCCCTATGAAGTTTCCAAACTGACAGGAATGGACATGCTCATGTATGTGGAGAAGGAATGCATCATTAAACTCAAAGGCTTGTGGAAACTGCTCGGTCAGATGCCAGGCGCACTCTAAAAATTGAGTAAACACAGGGGAAGTCTCCTTGAGATCACCATCTAACTGCCCGCATCTGGGGAAAAAGAAGATAGAAATAGTCTTTACTACCTCAGAGGACATTGATTTAAAATTAAAACAAGCAGAACCCTTGTTTACAATATGTACTTGTTTTTACAGAGCTTAAAAAGTATCCTTGTCTGATGTAATATGTTCACGGAGAGCCATTATATCTGCCTGCGGTGGCCATAGAGAAGAAAACTTGTCAAACAGCTCCCAGCAAAACTTGGCAGCTGTGGGGGAGGGAATCTGATAAAATCTTATCTTTATCAAACCTAGAGTACTATACACTGCCCGGCCGGGGAAAAAAAAGGGTCTCCACCTGGATTTCAGGCAGTGTTATGATCTTCAGTTGGTCAGGTCTAGGCTCAGCAACATTATATCACCAAAAACTGAGGTCAGCTGCCTACATGAATATACTGAATGACCAGGTTTTTCCATCAATGGATTTTTTCTTCCCTGATAGCACGGGTATATTCCAAGATGACAATGCCAGGAATAATCGGGCGCAAATTGTGAAAGAGTGGTTCAGGGAGCATGAGACATAATTTTCACACATGGATTGGCCACCACAGAGTCTAGACCTTAACCCCATCCTTTGGGATGTGCTGGAGAACACTTTACACAGTGGCCTGACTCTCATTCCATCATCTCTACAAGATCTTGGTGAAAATTAAAAGGAGAACTATGGGGTTACGGCTTTTGCCCATAGTTCTCCTAAGGATAACGGGAGGACACAAACTAGCGTCCTCCCGTCACCCTAAGCTCAGTATACCGAGATGCCGCAGTATACCACGAGCTACAGCTCGCGGTATACTGAGACGCCACAGCTGAAACGGATCCCGACAATTATGTCTGGATCCGCCCAGCTGCGTGAATGACAGCTGGCTCTGCCTATGCAAAGGCAGAGCCAGCTGCACCCGCCCCTCCCCATCCGTTCCGCCAGTCAGCCTGGAGGATCGGAGCGGGGAGGGGGGAATCCAGCCCCTCCCCTGCTCACTTCACAATCTACTGAGCCGACCTGTGACAGTTTCATTGTCACAGGTCGGCTAGAACTATGAGGATGACTGAAAAGCACTCACCTCATAGTTCTCCTTTAACCCCTTCATGACTGAGGCCTTTTTTTCATTTTTTGTACCCATGTTATATTCCACATTTTAGGATCGTCAATCACGTAGGGGTTAATGTAACTCTGGACGGAAATAAATGTTGTGACATTGCATAGGCTTATTGAAACAATGCCACGGCGAATGTGTGCTGTAATCAAAGCTAAAGGGGGTCCAACGAAACATATATACATGTATTTACAACATGCTGGGGGCTTTAAAAGCTCTGATATTCAGACATTATTAAATTAGAATGATTATTCAGGAAACAAGAGTATCAGTATCTTGTCATAAAAATAATCATTATAAACAGATGTTAACTATCACAATAGAAAAACATCTTAATAAATGAATGGGGGATATTAAAGGGCCCATTCACACCCCTCCAGTTTTCACTGGCACCTCAACTCATCTCCAACACACATGCAATGCATTGCATCCCAACACATGGATATGCACTACCATGCACTGTGGTGTGCTGCGTTGGAAAAAATGTCCACATGTCTGATTTTGTGGCCATTTTGGTGCACTGCCAGCTCATTTAAATGATTCGGCTGCCTTGACGCAATGTGTGTTAACGTAATGCACCAAGAAGGACCAGCGTGAATGGGTCTTTAGAAGACTTAATCAATTAAGCTCTATGGCCATTTTCACAGTTCAGCTATGAGACACTAAACTTAGGAGTTCAATCTTAAAAATGCATTCAAGTACCCTAACTATTAACAAAACTGTACCTCATTTAAGGATCTACAGCTGAGTGATACACAAATAAGATACATTTTTGTTAATAGTTCAGGTACTTGAATGCATTTTCAACATTTAACTCCTGAGTTTAGCATCTCTTTAATCTAGCAAAACTATTACTTATAATGAAGAAGTGAGGCATGTCATTCTGGGGGGCGCAGACAGGGATTTTCTTTTTAGGTGATACCATTATCCAAATAGTTAAAGGCAAAACAAAGTACAAAAAAGTTAAAATAATTTGGCCTTTGACTGTCAAATTATTAGCATGTCCCATCTGTTAAATACGAAGTGGTGTAAGTTCAGTTGGGAAGGACTCCTTTCATGTCCTTGGTCCTTACCTAGTTCAAGTGCACAATTATATTGATTATTATCTCTGGAAAAAATGAGTGGTCATTTACTACTTTACGATGCGTCAAGGCAGGTCACTGAAATGAATAGGCAGTCAATCACCCTATTGTTCCAAAAAAAACAAACGTGACCATTTGTAATGCAATGCACTACCGAAATATGACCATTGAATGGCACGATAATGCAGCATTACAATGTCACATAAATGTAAATGTGCCCTCACATACATTAAGAGACACACACCTATTCGTCTTCGTGCTTTTAAATTGGAGTAATCTGTGTAATTCCCTGAGGCATGTGCAGTTAATATTTACCTGTCAGCAAATTTATGGCCAAACGATATCCAATCTTTCTCAATTAACACCTAAAGATAGAAAGAGCAGAGCATTGTTATAAGGTACTTACAGACACTGTAATACAAAACAGGAGACCGTTCACTTTCTATAGCAGTACACAAACAACTGTCCACATTCTTACTCCTTATTTTTTTTAAAACAACCCAGTGAAGTAGTACAACTTATATCAGTCAATTTACACTTGAACAGGCATTGGAACATAACCGCAATGCAATAAGAAATCAACCTCAATTTCTCTTCACTTGTATTCTCTGGACAAGGTAGGAGCAAAATCTTTTCAATGAGAACACAGAATGATATGGAAAGGTTAGAGGCTCTCCCCAATTTTTAGTGGTAACTATATTCTCACTTCCATCACTTCTAGAGGGAAAGAAAGCAATAAAAAATGTAACGCACAGTAACGCACGATTAGCCTTATGATGTGTTAGGGTGCTATTTATTTTGAATGGCACCCCAATGCACCTTGAAACACACCCTAATGCAGGTGTGAACCTTCTGTATATATCGTGATGCTATGCATTTAAACAAAAAGCACAAGTCTGTTTTTTTATAAATTGGCAGCCCATTCAAAATGAATGGGATGCCTCAACACAACACCAGAGCAGAGTGAAAGCGTTCATAAGCATTCGTCACTCTATCTGTAACTAAAAAAGGTTTGGCTGAAGTTGTACTTTAACCCTTGACCTCACCCTAACAGCATTCTCTATCTCTATATGTGTTCCAGGTCAGAGACTCAGAAAGCATTGAAGCCAAAGCATGACAGCCATGCACATCACATTTTCAAAGGAGAGGTCAGCAATGGCAGCGCTTATACTGTTTTCATGACAGAATCACTTTAACCGGAAAGGACAGAATCTGGTCTGAACCTGAGCTCCTCCAAACCCGTAAGGAAGCTCCATTCACTGCTGCCTAATCGTCTTTCAGCCACATGTTATGACAGGCCTTCTTAAGAGCCAGTCACATGCTTTTAAAAAAAAGCTGTATTTGCTGTTTTTTTACCGCAGTGTACCGCAATGCATACTGTGTGTGGTGCTGCATTGCAGTGGGGGTGCTCACTGGGGTGCCTTTTAAAATGAATAACAGTGTAATGCATTGCACTGGAGCTTGGCGTGATATCACGTGTTACGACAATGCAGTGGTGTTAATGGGCCTTTAAAGAAATAATAACATGAGAGTCAACATTTCCCAAGCTCAAGCTCCTAAAAGTGTTAAATACAGCAGCTGGTCAGAGGAGCAAATGCCAGGGTAACAGACTGACAGGTGTTGCTCGCCATTCATTGGTTGGGGGGTAAACCATGTTACAGGATAGAAAAATATTCCTAAGTATTCAGCCAATCTGTTCTGTAGGAAGTGATGACATCACTGCAGAAGTAGCTGGACTCACCATGAAGCCTTTGATGGTTCTGTAGAAAGGATCCATCAATAATGATCCCAATGAACAGACTTGTGATGTGCGGTCCCAGCCATCAGAGCAATGTACCAGTACGCTGGTATTCTCCTCATATATAGCCTGAAGACACAAAATCACATTGTTTTATTAATATTGTAGTAATATTATGTAGATAACACTGTAAAGGTGAAGAATATATTAATTCCAATAGTAACAATTCCCAATTACATTGTACAAAATTCACATTTCAATTGTTTTAGTGGAAATATAATCATCTTGACTGTACCAGTTCATACATGGGTGAAGGCATAACGCAATAAGCAGCAGATTCACTGAAAAGTATGATGTATAGGGAAACGGGAGGGTCATACCATCACCTTCTATAATCAGAAATATTAACAGCTGCTCACTGCACATTTCTACCTTACCCGCACACAATAGCGCACTATGACACAGGTCACTTGGGGGACAAAGTTTGGGTTATAAACATACATAATACACAGGGCTTCCTGATTTTATTTGATTCCCCTGTAATTGAAGCTACCATGATGACATATTGAGCGGATAAAAATGTGTGTACCTTGGCTAAGCAGACAGAGGCATCCAGCACTGCTTTGATGTGACGAAGCCATCCACAGCTCTCTAAGCCATTTAAAAAGTCACTTACAGAGAGGTTTTTAGACCCACAAACTGAAACAAAAAAAGAAATAAAAGTTTTTAATAGCAACAATAATAATAATAATATTCCTGCAGAAAAAAACCATTAAGGACAGCAGTATAGGCTTACAGTGAATCTGTGCTCCGTCCATGCTAAACAGGTTCACTTCAATGCAGACATACATACTTACCTTCCAAAGTCCTGCGTGAGTTATAATTTGCTGGAGTAACAGGGATATGGACTTTCTGGGGACAGCACAGACTAAGCAGTGTTACATGGCTGGGTCAAATGCTCTTCCACCAAGAAATACTAGGCTGCTGACTGACATTATTGAAATTATAAATATACAGTATACAGCGATCAGTCATAACATTATGACCACTGAGAGGTGAAGTGAATAACATTGATTATCTTGTTACAATGGCAATGGATATATTGGGTGGGACATATTAGGCAGCAGGTAAACATTTTGTCCCTGAAGTTGATGTGTCGGAAGCAGAAAAAAATGGCCAAGCGTAAAGATTTGAGCAACTCTTACAAGGGACAAATTGTGATGGCTAGATGACTGGGTCAGAGCAACTCCAAAACTGCAGCTCTTGTGGGATGCTCCCAGTCTGCAGTGGCCCAAGGAAGGAAAACCAGTGAACCAATGGCAGGGTCGTGGGTGGCCAAGGTTCAATGATGCACATGGGGAGTGAAGGCCGGCCTGTGCAGCCTGATCCAATAGAAAAGCTACTGTAGTTCAAATTGCTGGAAAAGTTATTGCTGGTTCCGATAGAAAGGTGTCTGAACACACAGTGCATCGTGGAGCCGTAGACCGGTCAGGGTGCCCATGCTGACCCGTGCCCACCGCCAAAAGCGCTTACAATGGGCACATGAGCATCCAAACTGAACCACAGAGCAATGGAAGAAGGTGGCCTGGTCTGATGAATCACATTTTCTTTTAATTCATGTGAATGGCCAGGTGTGTGTCACTTACCCGGGGAAGAGATGGCACTATGGCAAGAAGGTAAGCTGGAGGAGGCAGTGGAATACTTTGGGCAATGTTCCTCTCGGAAATTTTGGATTCTGCCATTCATGTGGATGTTACTATGACACGTGCCACCTACCTAAATTTGGTTGCTGACCATGTACACCCCTTTATGGAAACAGTATTCTCTGATGGCAGTGGCCTCTTTCAGAAGGATAATCTGTCCTGCCACACTGGAAAAATGGTTCAAGAATGGTTTATGTAGCACAACAACGAGTTTGAGGTGTTGACTGGGCCTCCAAATTCTCCAGATCTCAATCCAATCAAGCATCTGTGGAATGTTCTGAAAAAACAAGTCCATGGAGGCTCCATCTCGTAACTTACAGGACTTGCTACTGACGGCTTGGTGCCAGATACCACAGCATACCTTCAGAGATCTAGGGGAGTCCATGCCTCTACGGGTCAAGGCTGTTTTAGTGGCAAAAGAGGGACCTACTCAATATTAGGTGGGTGGTAATAATGGTATGGCTGATCGGTGTATGTTTGGGTTGTGTTGGATCTAGTGACCTATCATAATAATAGTATTGCTTCCTACTGATGGCTAACAGGGTACAACGCTCTACCACAATGATTTTGATCAATAGTTAAAGTGAAATTAGTTTTCTTGAGAAAAAGTCCCATACTAAATATATTTCAAAAACTTTAAATCACACCTAACTGCAGGTTCCACAGATACTGTGATATACCGTTCCCATACACTTGCTGAAATATTTCAAAATAAAGGCAAAGTGGGATCAATCGCAAGGTACCAATAAGAAACAAGACTTTTCTGCCTGATAACCGTCATACATGTAGAAGGAGATGAATAGAAATGGAGGTAGAGTAGTAAATAGGATCCTATCGAATGAAACCCCCAAATCACTACAACCCAGATTAGCACATAAATGGCCAGCCAATCCCAGCATTCTGCAGTCAAAGAGGCGGAATAGTGTCCCTAGCCATGCCAGAGGTGCAGCGACTCCTTTATGTCGATTCAGCTGCAGAGTCAGACAAGATGAGAAGCTCCCATTGGTCTAAGCCAACCATGACACCACCTGGCAACATCATCTAAACCACCTCAAACTTTGTACACCAGAGGAACCCTTAAGCTTATTTTTTCGGTTTTGGGGAACCTTTGCTAAAACCAACTCATTTGGGAGCAGTGGGAAAAATGCACCTTACATTTTGGCTAATGAGAAGAATGCCCCTTATTACAGTGGTGGGAGAATGACACCCTTATAGGCACCTAAAAAGATGATAGGTATCATGCAGCTGGCTCTGATAATTGCCATTGACCCTGGAACTATGCAAGTGCCATAAATAGTCTGTCAAATAATCATTGTTCAAGGAATCCTTAGCAACCTCTGGAGGAACCGGAGGGTTCTAGAGAAGCATGATTAAGAATGGCTGATCTAGATAATGGTTGGACTAATAGACACCTGCTGCACTGCAGCAACCTCACCTATACCATACACCTATAGAGTATCCGCAGATTTTCTATGGACAGATGGGAAATGTGCAACAGATTGCTCCATCTACGCTAAACTGTGTGGATGGAGGAATCTCCCACTGGGCCAAGCTTCCTTATCTTGCTAGTCGGCCCCACTGGCTCTCAAAATACCTGAACAATCTGATTGGATGCAGGCATTGTTCAGGTATTTTGAGAGCCAGTGGGGCTGACTAGCAACATACTGAAGCTTGTCACAGTGGGACACAGTTTAGCGTAGATGGAGGAATCTGTTGCACATTTTCCATCTGACCATAGAAAATCTGCAGAAAATCTATAGGTGTATGGCCAGCTTTAGTCTGGTAAGGGGGAAGGCCTAAAGTAACTCCAATGGAGCTCACTACATTAAGCACTTCTCAAGCTTCCATCTCTGTAAATCACAGAAAACACCAAAATTGAAAGTATTAAACCCCTATTGTGCTTACAGGGAAGAAGAAAAGATACATTTTCTGCGTCCTAGCTGCCATAAAACTACACAGTCATTATAAAGTGGAATTCCAGCCCAAACTCGTTTGTTTACCTTCCTGCTCACCTCAATAAAAATGCTTTGGATGGTGGGACACTTTCAGTAACATTTCATTATGAAATGCAGCTCATATATTTATTCATTCTTAACATACTTGGGGTTTTCCTTAAAAAAGTCAAATCCAAGCATCTGCAGGTGTACACTGACCTCTAGTGGACACTGCATGACTGGCAAGGAAATTCCAGGAAGCTTTTCGAGTTAAGAATATTATAATCTGTAATTTATCACCACAATAATCAATCTTTTCTAATATATTGATTTACTTTTTATTCTTCAATAATGTAAAGTTATTTTACAATTTTGCTGTGGGATGAGAGAAAAAAAAAAAAAAAAGAGTAGAAGGAATTTGCACCCAATAAATGCAGACCTTCATGGTTTACAAGAGTTTCGTTTCTTTAGTTGTAAAACTTTATTGCCATGAAAAAAGAATGTGTTCACATTTTATGTGTTTAATTTATTATTTTCCTGGTCCTTTAAGTAATTTTAAAAAGTTCACCATGAAAAAATAGAAACGTTCTGTAGTAACTTCTAATGGGGGAGTTCACAGTACAGCCCAATGTTGTTCTGTCTTATATTATTTTGGAAATGTAGTCTCTCTTTTACAAGAATAACGGGGACATTCACAGATTGCTACCACAATATTTTATTTATCAGCACAATCTAGTAAAATATCAGAAGGTGGTGAGGTAGGAGCAGACTGGCTGAGTACAGTGCACATTTGGCACTTTGGATATTAAGCCCACCAGCCACCCTCCTTGCACTAAACACCTCTCCTGTCATTTACTTTACACATATCAGGGCCTCAGTGGAGAGCAGAGGATCTGTGAAATAACGGGAGTGGAGCTTAGCTATGGCAGGAGAGGGGTTTACTCTTGACTTGCAGAGAATATTGGCTGGGCCTAGAATCCATGAGCCTTCAGGAAGACACATGGAAAAAATTTAAATACAAACACAGGTACTTTAAGTGGTGTTGTTATTAGGGAATTTTTGGCTCGGTCTGGTGCGCTGTCAGAAAATCAGTGATCTCAATAAGTCCTCCAGCAAACACTGCTGCTGTTTACTACAGGGAGTCTACTCCAGGCCATGGCCTTGCTCACACAGCTAAAGGGATGCCAGGGATGGTTAATCTCACAGATCTTTGTCCACTCCCCTATCCCAAACCCTTTCTTTGCTTCGGGATGAACTTTCCAGCTGTCCACCAGTACAGGGTGGAAAAAATGGCAGATAAAGTATTTATTTTATTTTAAATGAAGTAGTCACCGGCACTCCAGTACTTGCTCCATCAGTTCTTCTTTAATGACTTTAAAAGGTCATTTCACAATGTAAAGCAACGTTTCGGAACCATGTTGATCTCTTCATCGGGCAAACAACCATGTCGGTCCCTGATGAATGGACCGACATGGTTTCCAGACATTGCTTTACATTGTGAAATGACTTTATAAAGTCAATAAGGAGGAATTCGAACAGTGAGCGTCGAACAGTGTGCTGCCTGCCGGGGGCTCGTGTTCGACACATTGCGGAACGAATTGACAGATTACAAATTGATGGAGCAAGTACTGGAGTGCCGGTGACTACTTCATTTACTTTGGATTAATTAGCCACACCATCTGCAGTCACTGCAGCACCCACCCGCTAATTAAGGATAGATTTCGGTCAGGAGTGAGATGGGACCAAAATATGTGCATTATTTTCGCAAGGGTTTTGATATACTTTAAGAATTGGAACTTAGTATACTTCAATTAAAGCAACTGTACCACAAAAGGGAGCAGGCAATCTTTGACACCAAGCGGCAGGATTGTCAGAGTTTTGCCCTTTCAGAATGGCCCAGCTATCAGGCGTCAGGAACCTGGAGGCTGCTGCAGGAATGTACACATAGAGGTTTCCCCACTTTTAACCTGACAGCAGCTTTTTGTTTTTTTTGTTCAGGCATTGTGACAGTTTCACTTTAAGAAGAGAGCTGCAGGCAAGGCCAACTTCATTAATAAATGTACCTAAAGCTATTTTTAACCTGTGCTGTAGGCAAATCGGACAATAAACTGTCTACCTGTCTCCTACCCTGACCTTAGAAAGTTGTAATATAACTAGTAATACATGAAGTACAACTTAGTGGGCGTTCCCTTTCTTATACTTTTCTCCTTACAGAATGCCTAACGTACATAGGTGAAGTAGAAGTCTTCTATGACAACCCGTTGGGAGAGGGAGGGACAACTAAGCATGCAATTCTGTGAAATGCATCAGAGGGGGTGGTGGACCTTGGGCAGGACACCAGTGATGTGGTAAAAGCTTCAATAAACTATCCCAGTGCAATCCGGTGTGTTGCCAGCTTTTGTTCTGTTTGTATCAGCTCATACTGGAGCACCGACATGCTCCCAGCGGCAAGCACCTGGCTCATTCCTTCTCTGAGCCATGGAGGAGCGATGCTTCTATTGAGTATTCTCCTTGCTTATAAAACTTAGTTATATAAAAAATAAGGTATCGCTTTCTGTAATCAGTATCACATATGGCTTATGCCACTTTACATGCAGCCAAGGCAACCTCTTCCATCATTGTTGCCCAGGAGGCAGCAAAGCGATTATTTGCTCCAGATCTTACTGCAAATGACTTCATTTGTATGCAGAGTGTGAGGTTTTCTAACACAACCTCTTCTCCAACTTTTGGCACAGAAGTCATTGCCCCGGGTTCACATTCCACTCAGCACAATGTAGAAGGCCTAATACTAAAATAGTGATTGGTAACCTTTACATGGATAAAAAGGGGGAAAGAGCTTTCAGCGCCAATTCCTGACAAAGAGCATCAGGTGGGTCATGGTTTTTTAGAAATAGATGGTAAACTTGGGCATGACTTTTATTATGAGTAAACTATACAGTATGAGATAATACAAAATATAATCAATGTAAAAGAAGAGAAAAAAAGTCTTGAGAAGTGATCCACCTACCTTCCAGAAGTTTCTGCAGACTTGATCTCATTACATGAATATTCTCAATTCCGACAAACTGAAATTTAATGTTGGAGTAATTGTCTGCGTTCTCGTACCCCTTGCCTGCCGCTCTGTTTGCCATGGCATTCAGCTGCAGATGGTAATGTAACACAACAAGTTTAACTGTTTTGAAAACGTATTTGACCAAAAGTTAATTGAAACAATTAAGATTACTGAAACCACAGGACAGTTGTAAAAGGCAATCAGCATAACAACTTTTAAACTGTATAAGGAAAACCTCGGGCTATACCAGGGGGAGGCAACCTCGGCACTCCGGCTTGCAAAATGTGACAGCCAAAGACATGACTCCCAGAGGCATGGTGGGATTTCTAATTTGAGCACAGCTGGAGTGGCAAGGTTGCCTACCAATGGGTGATAGAATTTGTTCTTGATAGATTAGCTTTCAGTGCTGGGAACTTCAGACAAAAAGAAAAATGCACAACTGAAGTACATACTGTATATAGGAACTGTTTTACCCCCTAAAGGATTTGTATTTCCTTTTCCGGCATTACACAAAAACTACCCTTGTAGTGCCACCAAACCACGCTGCACTGCTCATTAAGTCTTGGGATAGAGTAGTAGTTACCATATCACCTGCTCTGGCTCCCCTCTTCTCCCTGATGCTCGGGGGTTTTGGGTGGTCCCCCTCCGCCCTCATGCACAATGCAGTCTTATTGGACTTGCTTTGTATTTGAGGACTTTAGAGTGCAATTACGGGCCAGAGCATCTTGGAGAGGAGTCTTTGATGGACACAGATGGAGGGAGTCTACCAGAGTAATAAATAAGGCAAGTAGACAAGGGTAGTTTTGTATTATTTGTGGAGTTGGGCTTTATATAGCCTGCCAAACAGTGCAGCCAGTCTGGTAATCTAACATTTCTCTACTGCAGCTAAGCAATAACACTTGGTCACCTCTCTGCCCTCAGCCTATGATTTAAAAGAGAAAAAAAGCAGCAGCAACCCATCCCTCTGTCACTCTGCATTCTTCACCAGTCTGCATCTTCCTTGTTAGCACATGTGCACCCAGCACACCTGATTGGCTCCTAGTGCTGCCACCTCTTCTCCTCTCCCAAGAATACCATACAGGGAATTACAAGGGGCCGATAGCAAACCAAATTAAATTACTAACACAAGTTGCATGAAAATCTTTTTAAATTATTTTTAATGGATACATAATTGCTTTCACTGATGTTTTATATCAATGGTTGAGGTTAAGCTTTAAGTATAGGCAGCTGAAATTACATGCAAATTCCTGCAAAGTAAAGATATGTCAAATATAAGTCTTACAATAAAAGTAGAGAGTGACATACAATTTCAGTTGACTACATCCCTGGATATAATTATCCTTTTGACACACTGCTTTTCCTACAGGTCACCTCAGCTTGTCACGGTATGTCTGGTATGAACTGTACAGGCTTGTAATAGGTTGTGAGTAAATCACATATAGAACACTCTGTGTACATACCTTAGGCCTGGTATCCATGACATACATGGACCTACACCCAGGATTGGCTTTACTAACAGACTGCAGCATGTGTTCATCCTCCAGACATCTTGCACTAAAGCCAGACAAAGGCTGACTGCACCTGCAAATAGCTGCCTAAAATGAGGAAGAAACAGGAAGCTATTTGAATTGTACATATAAAGTTAGGCTGTAGTGGTCATAAACAGGCAGATCTATCACACAACAGTAGTATTCAAAGCAATAAAATGATTCAAACTGTCGGTGTTTGCCTTGATTGGTTTGGTTGTTTTACAATCAAATTGGTTGACAATTCCAGTATGTGCAATTCTCATCATGATCACTCAGCTGATAGGATGACTATTTAATAGCTCATTTGTCAAAACCCCAAAGAGGTACAATGGTGGTTTTGATTGACTGCAAGAAGATAGGACCAAAAAATGCCCAAATCAAACACGGTGGAAAATTAGAACGCTTTTGAAGATATTGACGATTTTTTCTCCGTTTTGATTGAATTTAAATTCGATGTTTCAATAAACTGTACTATATCCATCAATTTATTGCCCAGTTTCAACTTCACAATCACAATTTGTGTGGTAGTTCAAACCTCTTGGTGGTATAATGCTATGTTTCTGACAATTATATTCTTGTGTACGATTATTATTGTGTACGATTTGTGTTGGGTAAAAAGTGGGTAAAATTGACACGTGCATGGCCAGCTTTAACCACTTCAAGACCAGGTGTTTAGACCCCCTTCCTGGCCAGGCCATTTTTCAGTATTCAGCGCTGCGGTACTTTGACTGACGTTTATTCCGTCATGCAGCGCTGTACTGAAATGAATTTTATACCATTTTTTGGGGACAGATAGAACTTTCTTTTGGTGGTATTTAATCACCACTGTGGGTTTTATTTTTTACTATATTAAGGAAAAATTATTTAAAATTTTGGGAATGTTTTTTTTCTCATTATATTAGGAAACCATGATTATTACCCATATTTTTGGTAAAATATAAAAGACGGGGTCACGTCGGGTAAATAGACATCAAGCATGTCATGCTTTAAGATGCCCGCTCAGATCTAGAGAGCTCCTGGCCGGCCGTTTTTTTACAACGGCCGGCCGGGAAGTGGTTAAAGGAGAACTATGGGGGAACCTTTTTTGCCCATAGTTCTCTTTGGGGTCACAGGAGGCCATATACTAATGTACTCCGGTGACCCAAAACACACCAAAAAGCTGGCTATCGCCCGCTATATGCTGAGAGCTGCGCTACAGCCGGAACAGATCCCGACAATACTGTCGAGATCCACGTCTCTGGCTGGTTGACAGCTAGCTCTGCCTCTCTGGCCTGCTGGCTGTTTGACAGTCACCGCTCTCTGCAGGGAGAGGAAGTCAGCAATCGGCGGAATGTGTTCGCTGACATCCCGGTCAATAGAACCAACCTGTGACAGTTTCAGTGTCACAGGTCAGCTTGAATTATGGGGTTGAGTGTTTTTTACTCACCTAATAATTCTCCTTTTAATCTCTGTAAAGCCTTATAATCTCAAGGCAGGTTCAAGTCTGCAGCAGTGCTTAACTTTAGGAAGACAATTCCTCTTATTATCTCCCTGCAGGTTTGCAGAGCATATTATTCTTCTGTCAAGTGAATAATGGTTTTCTAACAGCAGAACCCTGGGCGCAAATTGTATTAACCCTTGAAGTTGGGCTTCCCCTGCACTGCAAGGGTTAACTGCTTGCTTGCTTGCTTTTGTCTAGGTTAAAAAACAAAAAAAGTATACTCACACGAACCTTGGAGCCGGCCACCTCTGACAGCGCTCTCCCTCCTGCCTACTACGCAGAATCCATGGTATGTCCCTCAGCGTCCTCACGTTCTATACATTATGTATAGAACGTGATGACTCAGGGACCTTAGAATGCTGCAGAGGAGGGGGAACGAGGCGGAAGGAACCCCTCTAATAGCAAGGTGGCTCTGAGGATCAGCTGAAGAAAACTTTTTTCCCCCACCCTAGATGAAAACAAGCAGTTAACCCTTGCAGTGTGGGGGTAGCTCCACTGCAAGGGTGAATAAATTGTATGCCCGGAGTTCTTCTTTAAAATAAACAGATTTTTTTTTAAAAATCACTCTGCTATAAAAAGTTCAGAATATCCCGCTGATTTCCAGTAAATAAAAAAATGACAGGACATGGTCACCTGTGTCTCCTGATGATAATAGGACAACACTGGGAATCTTCCTTTGCTTCTAAACTTTGAGCTCCCCACAATGATTGGCTTGCTTGCTGTAATTGGCACATACAGTTCTCGTGGATACGTCTCACACACCTGAAAGGCAGAAGGTTTGGACAGTGGAGGGAATAGTTAGATTAGATCCTTCTGTATGTTTGCTGTGTGTGTCCATTCAAGAGACTTCCCTTTTGGTGAGGTTGGTAGTGAAATCTCCTATGGGGAAACAGGTAACAATGAAAATGGAGGGTCTAGCCTTCCCCATCCTACTAATAAAATGTGTTTTAATTGCTATTGTGTCTCTGTTAGAGAACTATCTGCTGACTTCCTGATGCTGGCACCAGGAAAGGACATTAGGTAGAAATTCTCCCAAATGGGTCCAAATAGAGAGAAAAGCCCACTGATTTTAATAAGAAACCTGCAATTAGGATTGTAGTTCTTCCTAATTTCGCAAACACTAAAGTAACTGGAACACCTGCAGTATGGAATTACCTTGTAATCTCGGTTGACATCAGTCAGCTGCCAGTGAGAATTGGGGACCCCCATTCGCTGATACTCTTCTTTCAGGTTAATGCATTGCCATCCCAGAATCCGTTCCGTCTCATTTTGTTTGGGGTTATAAGAAAACGCGTAGATATCATCAAATCGCACTAAAAGAAATAAAAGAGGATCAGATCATCCTTTACATGCCGTGCCACACTATTCCAGAATCCTATCACCTTAAAGTGACACTAAACTCAGGAGTTATATCTTTAAAATGCATTCAAATACATTTACTACTAACAATAATGTATCTCATTTTGTGTATCACTCGGCTGTAGATCTTCAAACCATCTCTGAATCGGTGCTGACACTGTCCTTCCTTCTAGAGGGTGACTACTTTTGTTCCCCATGGTCCCTGTGTGTGTTGTAAAGTAGCCACCGCTCCAAGCTCACTCCTGTGATGGGCTACAATCTCATGTTTCGTTTACTAATTTGTATTGAGATTGTAGTACATCACAGGACTGAGCCTGGAGTGTTGACTACTTTACAACACACACAGGGACCATGGGGAACAAAAGTAGCCCCCCTCCAGAAGGAAGGACAGTGTCAGCACCAATTCAGAGATGATTTGAGGATCTACAGCCGAATGATACATAAATAAGATACATTTTTGTTAATGGGGTACTTCAAATGCATTTTTAAGATTGAACTCCTGAGTTTAGTGTCATTTTAAACTAAGTCCCCTGATCCCTGGCCATAACCCCAACCTTATATAACCCCTTAACAAAATCCTAAAAGGAATCCCTTGTCCTGTATACCCATCTCCTTTGCAATATGTGAACCTCACACTTGTGCTGGCAGCTCTGTATCAAAAGAAACACTAAGTTGCAACTTTTTTAAGATTTAACTCGAGTTTAGTGTCACTGTAAAGTAGACCTAGGATCACATACTGTACAGTATATGTTTTAGCACAAGCTATTAACTCTCACAGAAATCACAGTACTCCCCCTGACAAGACCATCCTCTGTTTTCTCCCCAAGAAGGAAGGAGCCATCCTTATTCATCTTTATTGAGGCATTATCCAAGGTCAGCTTCTGGAATGGTGGCTCAGTTGCCGCTCCTTTTTCAGCAAAGTAATCGCGTGTTGGGGACACCACCGAAATGTAAAGGATATATGGCAAAGCACTTGGGGCTTAAGCTGGCTATACACCCGAGGCGTTTTGTTCCTTAGCCACGCGCTGAGTAGCTGTTCTGTAGCACTTCAGTTCGCTGCAGCAGGGAGGGGAGGGCACATAGTTCTCTTTACCATCACAGCATCTACCATGTTCTCCTATGACCCAAAACTCAGCATATAGCAGGCTATATTGACAGGATCCACCCTGCCACCTGATTGACAGCTGGCTCTACCTCTCTAGAGCTATGTCTCTCTGGGCCATAGTTCTCTTTTAATCTATAACGTGAACCAACCTGCATGCTGTGGCTATGCACCCACATACCCCCCCCTTCCTTTCCCCACTTCTCACTTGTACAGTACCTAATCCCCAACACCAATTTAACCTATAACCTAAACCTACTTGCATGCTGTGGCTATGCACCCAAACCATCCTCCCACAACCAATTTAACCTATAAAGTGAACCTACCTGCAAGCTGTGGCCATGCACCCAAACACCCCCTTTCCCACTTGTACAGTACATAATCCCCAACACCAATTTAACCTATAAAGGGAACATACTTTCATGCCGTGGCCATGCAGCCAAACCCAAAATAGACTATTGAACATTGTTATTGGTGGGTGGCCGTGGCTCCTTCTGTTGCATTTCAATACTGTATATGTTAGGAAATCCATAGGTACAATAATGTGGGAGATGGCAGTATACCTTACCTGGTTTTGACAGCTGTAGCAGAGAGTTGTAGATGTCATGACAGTCCCTTTCCCTGGGAACTATAAAGTGGAACACTCGAAAATTCTTGCATTGTATCACCAAGGGGCAGCCAGTAGTTGTGAGGGCAAGCTTCTCCACCGCAGCAATGTGATGGTGTAGAATCTATTACAGATATGCAGGTATAAGCCATATTGACGTTTATATCTACCAATGAAGAGGACAGATCTAAAAAAAACTTCCCTGAGAATAATGGGACATAATGGTCTAATCTGACAAATTGTGCTTTGTGTGTGTTTAACAGATGATTGGGAAATACAAGATCTTCTGGAAAAGTGACCTGTCCACTTTAAAAGTACAAAGATATTGTTTTAGAGTGTTATGTAATATAGACAGGAGACATACACTTAGGGGCTGATGTATAAAACTTCTGCCCACCGTACAGCTGGGTGAATGCCGTTCACACAGCATTATAGCCACTAGCAGCATTGACATTTCCTGTGCTCCTCGGCTCTATCTAGTGGCAGTAATGCTGTGCGAACATCAGCCCTAATACTATTATCCACTTATATTAAACCAAATTGAATGTAAAGAAACTCAACCGTCATTTTATAGTCCTCCCTGGTCTATGGCAACTGTTATGTTATCCACATATTGAAAAAAACAACAGAATGCAATACTATCATCATGTATTACCAGCCTAAAGCTGAACTCTGGGAATTACACAAAAACTACCCTTGCTGTGGGGCATGCTTCGGTGCTCACCTCTTGTCCACGGCACTCCAGGTTGTGGGCAGTCCCTCACTGTCCTGCTGCTGGCCCTGCATTGTTTGTGATTACATCACTGTGTGATTGCCAACCAGAGCAGCTTAGAGAAGAGGCTGCAGGGGACTGGTTGCAGAGTTAGCCTGAAAATGCCGGAGAGAGGCCGGAGGTTCCCCATCCCTGCCTTAAACTTATCCACTTGAGGACCGACCACTGTATATATACGGCCAGTCCGCAGACGCCTTGTTCCAGCAGGACGTACTCGTACGTCCTCCCGTGAACACCTCTTTGTGCATGTCTGAGTCCGCTGTTCCTGCTGTCATCGGACCGGCTCTGTGTTCTGTGATTGGTTATCACAGCGATCACATGGCAATATTTACATTGCCAAGCCTTCCTCTTACATCAGAGGCAGGGGAGAGTAAAGGAAGTAATGAATGTACCCATTCATTACTTCCCAGCAAAAACAAGCTGCAGCAGCAGTTTATGTTATCTGCATTTTGTCTCTGCTTGGACCTGTATATTAACCCTTTTCATTTGCCTTATCCAGCACATCTATACCTTAACCCCTTCATCTCTATCCTCCCAATGTATGTGACCTGCCCATTAAAGCCTTCACCCCTCCTCCCACTGTCTATGACCTGTACATTTATTGTATCTTGTGCCCTATTACTAAGCTCTATATTTTAACCCCCTCAATACCGGCATGTTTCATTTCCCAAAAATTGTGGCAAAAAATAAGATCACCTTGGAGTGTCTACTTTCCAAAAAAGGGGTCATCTGGAGTGGTTTTGTACTGTCCTGACACTTTTATTTGCTATGATTTAAAAGTGAAAGTAACAAAAACTGGCTTTTTTTGAATTCTTTCGTCTTTTTTACTCTATATAGTATTCAATTTAAAAAATGGTCATTAAATACCGCTAAAATAAATTGTTATTTGGGCCCAAAAATGATATAAAATGATTTTTTACAGTGTTACAGTGTTGTGTGATGGAGGAATTCTCAGCCAAACTCGCACAGTGCTTAAAACTAAAAAAATGGCCTGGTTATGAAGGGGGGTGTAACATGCCGGTACTGAAGTGGTTACTTGCAGTGTAGAGGTGGGCAATGTGTCGGACTGAACCGAGGCATGGTGGAGAAGCCACAGGAGGAGCCTTCCCCCAGAGGCATGATTCTTTACTAGCGGGTCTTCGTCTGTCACTTAGCCGGGCATGTGGAACTATTTTCAGATGCTTTTCCTTACATGCCCTGGCTGATACGTGAATGATTCTGGACATTATTTCAGACACTTAGATCCCGGAGAAGGGATGGAATTCAATAACAGACTTTGCTGATAAGAACGGCCTAAGTGCCTGCTACTTGAATAGATTGTGTGTTCAGTTTACCTTATACCAGTTTTAACTTGTTTTATTTATGTGTGTACATGCTAGACAGAATGATGTGGTGGGAATGTCCAGAGAAAGGTATAAAGTGTGTATTCTTGGTTCTAATAAACAGAGGTAAGGTTGTGTTTTTACTTCAACATTGGTGTTGCCTGATGTTTGGGGTAAATCTTTATTACTGTTAGGAGTTTAGTTTTCTGTCCTAATATATTGGTTTTGTCCAATAACTAGGCAGGTTTCAGGTTTAGGCTGAGGACACTGGAAATCAGGTTCCAGCGGAGAGGAAGCTACATAATGACAGAGGCACCCAGTTGGGGTGCCGTGCGGTCCGTCACAGGCACTGCAAGGGTAGTTCATTTGTAATTCCTGGCGTTCAGCTTTAAAATGAATACATTGCCGTGTTTGCACTTACTTCACTAGGATAACATTTGTATTGTTTAATAACTAAGCATAATGTTGTCTATGTCCTACCTGTTCTTAGTCTGCATTCAGGGCCAGATTTATACACCGTTAATATAGATTGTTATAGCCCATAGTGTATTTAAAGTTCACCCATTCTGGGTGACGTGGAAGGGGACTGTGCTAGGGAAATGTATCTTCCTGAAGTAGTCAAATTTGGAAGCTACTTCAGAGGCACATTGTAAAATTGTTATTGGAAAGGAAAAACGCTGCAAATAAGCAATATAAATACTTGATTTTTTCTGTGCTTTTACCTCCAACTTTTCTTTAAATTGGTTACAGGGTCATGAACGATTCTGCCGCACATACTATTGGACATATTTCACGTATTCACAGGAATACAGATCCCATACTTTAGATGTGGAAGTCAGGGAGATGGAGGGGGAGAATAAGGAGTAGATGGATAGGGTTTCCCAAGTTTCTGGCAGGTTCCATGACACTTCCCACCTCATTTAACCCCTTTGGGTTTTTTTCTATCCCCCTTTCTTTCTATCCTCATATTGTCTTCCCTCTTTTCTCTAACCTAATTCTACTACCTTCTACAAATATTGTTTGAAAAATATGGATGGAAATGTCTGCATTCTTACTATATGTCAGAAGTTTCAGGTACATTCCAAGGCAACCTAGAGACTTGGTTTTCAACTGGTGGGTCGTGACCTCGTGTTTAGTGGGTTGCCGCATGTCTTCCACTTTTCTAGGTGAGAGGCTCCTCTGCCACCCCCTAGCACAGCACTGTCAGTTCTCGCACTAAGCAGCCATTCAAAATATCCTGCCCGATACCGAGTGTCAGCTTGAGGTGGGATGGGGCTATGGCCGCGAGGGAGCTCCACCCATACGTGCATTGCTTACAGCTCCCCATAAGTACTGTAGAAGTGCCTGGACCAATGTCACATTCTGGCTCCTGGTACCTCTACAGGGCATGTAAAGGAGCAAGCATTGCACATATGACTGGAGCTCCGTCACAGCACAGAAGCCCAAACTGGACCCGAGGCAGAGGACCCACTCCAGATTCTTGTGAGGGTGGACCTTAAAAAAAAAAAAAAATGTTTTAAATTAAAAAACTTTTGGAGTGTGTATGTATGTGTAAGAATGTCTCTGAGATTGTATCTGTGTATGTATGCCAGTGTTTTTGAGGGCTCGTTCACACTAGTAGAGTGCGTTGAACTGTACCACGCAATCGCACCTATGTGTGTTGCGTTACCATTCATTTGAATGGTACCCCAAATGCACCTCCCACCCACAGTTCATACGCCCCCCCCCATACACACGCAAACATGTGTCGGGTGCACCTATGTGCGAAAATTATGATTGCGCCCATTACGCAGCACATGTTACATATTGCCGCGTATGGCGCAGTGAGAGCAATAATTCTAGGACCATTTATTACTGATAACACTTAACTGATGAGCGGTAAAATTGTTTAAAGCATTGCCTATGGCCTATTTTGGGTGTGGTCGTTTTATGCGATTTCACAGGCGCGCGCAATTTTATGGCTTGACATGTTTGGTGTCTATTTAGCCGACATGACCCCATCTTTTATACTTTACCAAAAAATTGGGGTGATAATAAATGTTTAATAACATTTCATAGGGAAACCGTTTTTGTTTTTCAAAATTTAAGTTGTTTGTTATATTGTAAAAAATAAAACCCCCTGTGGTGATTAAATACCATCAAATGACAGCTCTATCTGTCCCCAAAAAATGGCATAAAATTTGTTTCAGTACAGCGTTGTATGATGGAATAAATGTCAAAGTACCGCAGCGCTGAATACTGAAAAATGGCCTGGCCAGGAAGGAGGTGTAAACACCTGGTCTTCGAGTGGTTAAGTACAACTTAAGTGGTTAAGTACCTCATAAAAGCAGTTTATGAGACTCAATAAAACATTGGCGCTGGTAGAGTCACAAGATTATTCATGTGCATAAGAAAGGGGACATAGCCAACTATGCTCAAGTCTCAAAAACAGCTTGGGGTGGTCATAAGAGGGAGGTTGCAGCAGGAAGAGAATGAGAAAGGAAAGGATTCCCTGACAATCAACATGTTATAGGTGCTGTACATTACTGTATGCATTAACTAAGTATATCTACTAGTCCCTGTTGCTGTCTGCCTATACCCTGGTGGCCACTGTGGCTAAATTGCAGGCTAATCCAGGGCTGGACAAATCTCAGGAGCCAGGTAGCCAATGCACCTTAAAAGTGACAGCTGGCACCTAACTTTTGAGGTTTTCTATAGTTGTTACCAAAGGAGTTGGCCCCTATAAAAAATCCTGCTGGTTCCTGCACTGGACAGGCTGGCTCCTGAATTCTATATTCATTTGTGCATCTCTGGGTTAATCGTATGGAAAAGGAGAAAATCAAGGGTTGTAATGGAAGCCGGAACTCAGCAGGTGAGATACGGTAACTGTGTATTTTCCAATAACAATATCTTAGTATCAGCTTACACAAAAACAAGGCATTCAGTGTTATCACAAGAGCCCTTCTCATGGCTAGGGTGACTGTTGTCTGCACAGCTTCCACGTTGTTGAATATTAAATGTCATATGATAACGCTATGTAAACACATTACATTCAATGCATAAATGCCTACCCAGATTTCCTTTTGCTGAGAGTCTATAAACAATAAATGGGTGGCGGTGAGATACAGCGTCCCAGAAGAGGATTTGTTGCTAGGGCTGAAACGGTCCAATAACTTCACCTGCTCCACCTGTAACAACCAACAAAACAAGAATTCAGATGAATACAATATGAAAGCAAAACATTTTGCATGTCAAATGTGCAAAGCAAGAACAGCTTCTAAGTCCTGGGCAGATGCAAACCGGCAAAGAGGTGGGACATCTCTGCGGCAGCAAATACAGTTCTCAGAGTCATAGGGCTGCAGCTAATGATTATTTTCATAATCGATTAGTTGCCCGATTATTTTTGCTTTATAGTCAATGGCACCGCAGCCATGACCCTGCCCGCAGTGCGATCGGACGCGTGGCAAAACATTACCTGCGTTCTAGTCCACTGCTAATGCAAAAAATAGAGCATCCTGCATGTTTTTCCATGTGTCCCATTGCACTGGGGGGATGGGGCGTGGCTGCGCCATTGACTTCATCACACCGCCACGCCCCCTCACGCCCCAGAACAAAGGGGGAAGTTTAGTGTGTGATTGCTGTGCGTTCCAGCAGCTACTGCTCTGGAATGCACCACAATTGGTGTGAACTAGCCCTTAGCCACCTTTTTTTGCAGGCTGGCTGGTAAGTTTGCTGGGAAATTTTTTTGTTTGTTTGTGTAAGAGCTTGTTCACTCCAGATCCAGACCAGATCTGGATGCGTTTCCGCATATGTAGTACAGTGCGTTTTGACATGTTTTTGATGTGTTTCAGTGCATTATTTTTTTCTAGCTTAAAATTGCCTTTCAGGTGTGGTCCAGTGCATTCCAGAGCGTTTGCATGCATTTTCGATGCATTTTGGTGCGTTCCAGAGCAGAAAAAATAGGACAGGCAGCACTTTCTCCCCCTGCATCGGAACTGACTGCACTGGTGTGAAAAGAGCCCAGAAATACCATAGGAATACATTAGGATGCATTTCAGTCTGCGGACAAAACCGCTCTGGTCTGCATCTGGTGTTAGCAAGCCCTTAAGCCCTTCCATGTGCACCTTACTTTACAGTTAGCGTTAGAGAATCACCTGCACACCATACAGTACTTGAACCAAACAAAATGTCTGTTGGTGCTCGAAGTGACGACACGGATGGCGCCGTGCTACACTCCAAGTAATGAAGTCACCAGCACTCACTTGTAATGTACAAAACGGATAGCACTTTTATTGATACGTCACATAGCCAATGTTTCGGGCCGCGTAGGGTCCCTTCATCAGGGCGACATTGTGACAAAAATCTAACACATCCTTTTCTCACGATGTGGTCCTGATGAAGGGACCGTGCATGGCCACGAAACGTTGGCTTCTTGACACATGTGACGTATCAATAAAAATGCTATCCTTTTTGCACATTACAAGTGAGTGCTGGTGACTTCTATCTTTACCTTAAAGCTAGTTCTAAATTGATGAGTGTGATTGCCATTTGCTTCACTTGTTTAGACGCCTTTGATCGCAGCACACTATGCGCCCAAATTCGCCTGTCTGAAAGAGGCCTTGTAGTACCGCGTGTACAAAGTACCTCAAGCACTAAAATTCATGCCAAACACAAACCATGCAAATGAAGGGCTATGAAGGTACAATTACTTTGTAGTGCACGGCCAGCTTTAGTTCTTGAATTTAAATGGTTCTCTTCATTTTTATATGGAAGAACTCTCACCCCATAGCAATTCCTTATGACTCAAGGCCTTGGACAATGCTGCATTGTCATTTCAATGTTATTTCCACCTTCTTATTGCTCTTTGTACACAATGTCATGTGTACTTGGTGTAAAATAAAAAAAACAATAAACTTATTGAAACAAAATGTAGTAGTCCAGGCGGGGGGTGAGATCGGTTAAAACTTATACAAAGCACTGTACTTCAAGATGAAAGGATTTTGTTACATCCCGATTATTAACAATGGAACATTATATGTAATTAGGGAAGACATAAACTCCCTTTTTCTGTTTTTGAAGCTTTTTCTTAGCTTAGGACTGGAAAAGACTGCTCGGTCACTTCTCTCAAACATGATTCAAGAGGAAAAGGATGTGATGTGTTGCCATGGTAACGTGTAACCACTGTCCTACTTAACCCAAAAAAAGTTACTGTTTGCAGCAGAAAACTCAATAAAAGCAAAGTCAACAAAACCTTATCTGATGAGTGTAGATAGAAGTGTACCGCTTTACAGAACGTAGGTTAGTCAGTACAAAGTAGAACAGCTATGACATTACTAAATACAATATTTCTGACTGTATAAAGGAAGCTGCAGAACTTGGAGCTGGACAAGTATCCTTATAATCCAAGCCATGTGCAGCTTGGTGTGACGCAATGCTTGGCAAATGCAGTTCACTTCACCCTTTCCTATTCAGTGGTTGGGGCACTCGGCCAGTTAAAACCACCAAGCTACATCATTTAGCGCCCGCTGGAACATTCTGATTTTCACATTTCCTTTTGTGCAGCTGGCTTCCCTGCTGAGCTGGTTGTTGGTATCCTTGATTTCTCAATGCCCTCCTTTCATCCAGCTGCAATGTAAATGTACTCCTGATCACCCAAGATCCAGCCTCTTCCAAAAAAAGTATCAATTGACTGTTTCTGGGAAGTCAATAGCCTGCTCCTCTCCTGGTGCCCAATACCCTGTGTCATAAGGTGCCCATCGCTCTCATCGCCTGCCAGGTTATTCTGTGCTCTCATGTGATGTCTGATGAAGACAATAAGGTTTTTAGTCCACAGCCTTGGGAACAACATAGAGTGCTGCAGGTAACCAAAGCAGCCTACTTTTTACATCTAAAAAAATAAGGCTAATATCAGATGGGCAATTGTGCTGCTGGGACACATCACAACCACTCAACCTAATTGTTATGCATGCATACACATATACTTTCCATCTTGTCTTAAATTGTATTGTAATTGTAATGTCTTCCTTATATTGTAAAGCACTGCGCAAACTGTTGGCGCTATATAAATCCTGTATTATAATAATAATTAGGGGTGGATTATGACATCATCACCTCTCATCCAATCAAAGAACATCTCTTATTAATTGCTTAAAGTACTAGGCATTCTCTGACTGGCCGCCGTGCCTAGTGAGTGTCCCCATGTGTTTTCACAGAGGGGAAGTCGTTCAGCACAGCACCAGTACAAGACCTGGAAGATCAATGTCAAAGCACCGTAGTAGTGACGGCTATACAATATTATACCAGTGGCGGATCCAAGAAAACTGCCGCTCCCTCCCTCCATCACCACTCTGCCGGGTCGCACACCAAACAATCAGGGCAGAAAGCAGAGACTGCACTCTCGTCTGGCAAATTAGGCGGCCACCTCAGCCCATGCTGGGGCTTTGCAGCTGCCTACTTTTAGATTGTAAGCCCTCACAGACAGGGCCCTCCTTGCCATCTTGTCTTGAATTGTATTGTGATTGTAATGTCTTCCTTATATTGTAAAGCGCTATATAAATCCTGTATAATAATGATACTTTGTCTAAGTAGAGAGCCCCAAGGCTCGCAGTGGCGGCAGGGTCGCAGGGACCTGTTAATGCAAGCCTATGAGCAGCCCATCAATGAGGACATGGCCATGTGTTACCAGTGTGCTCAGGGACAGGCCCAGAGCTCGCTGGCACTAAGGACCAGGTTAAGGGACCCAGCACCAGTCCTCTTTAGATGATGGTATTCTGTATTGCGGTATAATGTATTGCTGGCAATTGTAGTCCTCTATACAGGGTCACAGCAGTTGCAACCGGGTCCTAGCATTCCGCCACTTGGAGGGGCCTGGACAGGAGGAAGGGGGCCTTGGTAACCACCAAAGGTTACCAGGCTCCCCTTCCTTCAGTCTGGATGTCCCTCCCGGGACTAGACTCTGGATCTGTCCTGTGTTATACAGTATACCTGTGGAGAGTTGAGCTTTAAGCCTTTCAGGTTGAATGACACCCAGTGCCATTCAACCAGGAAGACTGAACACATACTGTGAGTATAGGGCCCCATGACCCATACTGTGCCCATTGTTTATAGTGTATTGGTACAGCAAGGGGCACTGATATCATTACATCAGCACTGCTCTCTGCATCAGTGAAGACGGCCCATCAGTTAGGACTGCGTGTCTGGCCTGAAGACCTCAGAAAAATGTATAAGCAAAAAAGTATACAATACAGCCACTGGGGCTACAAAGGGGTGGTCAGTTTGGTGGGTAGGGGAATAGAGCCCTGATGGGCTTTAGTATAACAAGTTAACCTCCTTCCCTCCTAATTGTGCAATGAGTGAGGGTAAGGGTGCCCACACACCTTACGATTATCGTACGATAATCGCGGGAAATCCCGCGATCGTACGATGTTCGTAAGGTGTGTGGAAGCCGTGCAACCTCTACTACTGTAAGGTCGCACGACTTTAAACTTACGGACATGTTTGAAAACCCGCCGAGCATCGTACGATGTTCGGCGGGTTTGTGGCATGTCCGTACGATAACAGCCGCACGGGCCGGTGTGCGCAAGCGCACACTGCCCGTTCGGCATTGCGGTCATCGGAAGCCCGCCCCTCAGGGGGCGTGGCTTGCGATCATCGCAAGTACGATCTGCCTATGCAACATAGGCAGATCGTACGTTTTTTTAAGTACCTTACAACCATCGCAAGACAGAAGTCTTGCGATGGTTGTAAGGTGTGTGCCCAGCCTAACATGCAGCCTAGGATCTGACGTCACAAAAAACCTTTGTGTCTGAGCCCACCTTCTCCAGAACATCAATCTGATAGACAATCAGCTAAAGATTTTATATCATGAAGGCAGAGGGCACTGAAAGTGATACATTTATTTCATTTAGTATCTGCTTGGGGGACTGGGGTAATACTATGCTATTGTATTGTAGCCGAGTTCTTCCTAACTAACCCCACATCATAATACTAATAATAAAGGTAAAGTAAATACTGCTACTTTGCCCATTCATAGTTTTATAGCCTATTCAGAATGTTCCCGGATTATCCGAAGCAATCCACTATAAAACTTATTCCCTCTGCGCCAATTAGTCTAAGGTAATTTACTGCCTGCAAACAAAGAGTTTCTTCATAGATTACAACAAAGGAAGCAATCAAGCCAGCGCTTCCA